ATTAAATCAAGGCCCCAAAAGGCAAATAAATCCTTCTCCCTTCCATATTAGCTCATGTAGTAAAGGTGTTTATTGTTCTTAAAAAAAAAACAAAAAAAAACTTGAGTATGAGAAAAAGTTGTCCTTAAAAGTCCTATTCTAAGAGGTTGGTTCAGATGCTTTTCAAAGTGATGACAGCAACTAATGTTTTTTTTTTCCCTTGCAAATCACGCTGGTGTTGATTTAGATGACCAGCAATTTAAGGTAGGACTAATTTGAAACTCCTGTCACATGTAGATAAGGCCTTCATGTAACATTTTATTTTTGTAAAAATAATAATAACTTTTACAAAAAAAACCCAAACCAGTGTCTAGAGGAAAATGAATAGCAAATACATAAGGCCTCTTACTTTTGGTATTATAGTAGTGATACCTAACATCTAACATTACCTTTAGTAAGCAAATAAATAAATCACTACAACTGGATATGGTTAGGCTAAGTAGATGTTTGATAATTTTATTTTAAATAAATGGCCCATTATATTCTATCAGACGATCATTTCCAACAACCCTTAGCTTTTAATTTTTTATTATTTTTTATTAGGCCAAAGAATCTTAGTAAGGACATACATATATTATGCACAATATATATCTTCAAATAACAGAACGAATTTCGATTCAGGACAAACTGCATGCTATGACAACAGAATAAAATGCAGTCAAAAATAAATAAATAAATAAAATGCAGTTTAGCAACCGAATGTTTCAGTAACATGAAAATGTATAACCTTTTGTCATGAATTAGCTTTTAAAAATCTAAAATAGTTGCCTTGTGGATTATAGCAATGAGACTTCAGCTGAATTTGCAGTAGGACTATTTTATTATTTCTTCAAACAGGAAACCACTGGCAATTCAGTGTGAAGTCATTTTCTATTTTTAAAATAATTGAATTTGAGACATAACTATTAGTGTGACAGTTTCACACAGCAAAAAATAAGATGAACAAATGGGTCTGAAACCCAGGCTAATGGAGCAATACTTTTCAAAATTACATGTACATTTATGTTCTTCTCTTACCACTTATAGTTTCATTCATCATATTGGTTTCTGGCCATATCCTAGAGCATATTTCCAATTCTGATATATTTCTAACAGAAATCCCATGCTGTGATCATTCCTTTAAAAGGTATAGTTTTGCAATATTCATGGCTTACATGAGCAGATTTTCTAGTAAATATACGATGGCTGACTAAATACATTAATATTTTATTTAGTCAGTAATTTAGATATAATGCACATAAATAGCCCATATAAATAGGGGTCAAGTGGAGGCCTCCATTCTTTTTATTTATTTATTTATGTTTTAGAGACAGGAGTCTTGCTATGTTGCCCAGGCTGTTCTTGAACCCCTGGCTTCAAATAATCCTCCCACCTCAGCCTCCTGAGTCACTGGGATTACAGGCAGGAGCCAATGTGTCCAGCTGGCTTTTATCCTCCTGAATAAGGCTGTGTGACCTTGAGTAAGTCATTTAACTTCTCTGAACCCTAAGCATTCCCATTTGAAAAATCATGGGTTAAATTATATTATATGTTATAATGCCTTTTTAACTTCATGTCCTATATTAATTATTCTATAAGTATCTTTAATTTGGAACAAGAGGGAATTCATGAAAAAAATCAGAATTAAAGAATGTGTTTTTAAAAAATGTAATTTTTAAACTTTAAAATAGCATAGGACCTGGAACTAAGTAAATAAATTATATTATTTTATGTAAATAGAAGTTTAAAATATATATAATCAGGGCGGGCATGGTGGCTCACACCTGTAATCCTAGCACTCTTGGGAGGCCAAGGCGGGAGGATGGCTCAAAGTCAGGAGTTCTAAACCAGCCTGAACAACAGCGAGACCCCATCTCTACTAAAAAATAGAAAGAAATTAATTGGCCAACTAAAAATATATAGAAAAAATTAGCTGGGCATGGTGGTTCATGCCTGTAGTCCCAGCTACTCGGGAGGCTGAGGCAGGAGGATCGCTTGAGCCCAGGAGTTTGAGGTTGCTGTGCGCTAGGCTGACGCCATGGCACTGTAGCCCTAGCAACAGAGTGAGACTCTGTCTCAAAAAAAAAAAAAAAAAAATATATATATATATATATATAATCATACTCTGAATATTTTTAAATCTCTTCGTGATTTTGTTTATAATATTAGATTTATAATATTAGATTTTTGTAGTAAAATCTTTGTAATGCAAAAATAACATTATCTATAATGTTACTACATCATAGAATTTGGCAAATTAGTAGTAAAACCAATGTGGAAGAATAGCCAGCAAGTAAATGTTTTAAAAGTACAGATGATTAACTTACCCTATCAGTTTAATACAGTTATCAAAACCATATGGATCATAGAAATCAGAACAGTGTTTGACTGTGGGGGCACTGACTGGGAAAAGGCATAAAGAAACTTTTTAGTGTTAAAACATTCACTATCTTCATTTAAAAAGTATATACCAAGGGTGTTCACTTTGTAAAATGTTATCAAGCTGAACACTAAACTGAAGTGCTTAATAAAACATGTTATCTAGCAACTTTTTAAAAGGTTTTAAAAGTTGGACTGGCTGACAGTTTTTTTCAAAAAGAATCTCCATCCCTTTACTAATCAAAAACTAAATAAATTTAAAAATCCATCTGCAATGTAGGCGGTAATTCATGTTCTAATTATGATATTTAAAACAGAGAAATGAGTAAGAAAACAAAGCGAAATACATGGTAGAGTTTTGTGGAGTGTTATATGAGGTAACTTTCCTCCTTTTCCACTTGTTTTACATTATTTTGGAATTGGATTTGTGTTTCTTTTGGATGCACACTATGCTGTGCTGAATATTTAGACTGAACAAATCTACCCTATTATGTTCTGATTACACAATAGAGTATAACCTTGTAGAAGAAAAAGGACATCTTATGTTCACTTTCGTATCCTCCAAAGCTCATGGCCGAATGTTTAGTATTCAATTGGGATTCAATTTATGTTTGTTAAATTGGATTTCAAATATATATGATAAAAAATTGGTATCAAAAATATATTTTAAAAGGAAATATATCAAAATTTGATGAGTGATCAAATTAGTTAAGTAGTCAAGGTACACTAAGTAAATACATACTATAAACATTACACAGAATAATTGAGTCTCTGGCTTGGACCGGTGGCTCATGCCTGTAATCCTAGCACTGTGGGAGGCCGAGGTGGGAGGATTGCTTGAGGTCAGAAGTTCAAGACCAGCCTGAGCAAGAGCAAGACCCCATCTCTACTAAAAATAGAAAGAAATTAGCTGGGCATGGTGGTACCTGCCTATAATCCCAGCTACTCGGGAGGCTGAGGCAGGAGGATTGCTTGAGCCCAGGAGTTTGAGGTTGCTGTAAACTAGGCTGATGCCATGGCACTCTAGCCTGGGCAATAGACGGAGACTCTAAAAAAAAATAAATTAACTACTACTAATAATAATTTGAATATCACTGGAAATTATAGAAATGAAAATTAAAACAACTATACTTATCAATGATAAATATAAGAGTAGTATTATACCTATAGCAAGAGAAAGCAAAAGCAAAATTTCACTTTAAAATTAAATTAGGCATCAATAAAAATACTATGAACCTCTTAAAAAGTGTTCTGAAGTCACCTTCAGAATTGCCACAAAATTTTGCAAGAATTTTCTTATTTTCTTATAATCTGGTTTGTTTTTCCTTATGTATCAACATCTAAACTAATTTTAAAAAATGATTTCTCATGATATTTTATTTTATGTTCAATATTAATAGTGGCAGAGATAGATGATTAGGAACATAAATCACAAATGTCCACTGTAAATACACATTTGATTATTTTTCTGTAACATTGTAAAATATGCTTCTGATTTGAAAACATAAAGGAAATAAGAAGAAATTTAGTTTATGCCTTATGGACTTACTCCAGTTACTCATATTTCATATTTTAGATTTTATGATTCCACACACGTGTGCTGCCCAAATTATTTAAAGTAAGTTAAAGGAACAAAACACAAACCAACAACTTTGCTAGGTTTAATGCACATTGTGTTCAAATTTTTATGTATACCATGGTATACTCAGCCATTAAAAAAATAATGAACTACCTATTGTATTATCCTGGATGGAGCTGGAGCCCGTTCCTCTAAGAGAAGTAGCACAAGAATGGAAAAACATATACCACATGTACTCACCATTAAATTGTTACTAATTGATCAACACTACTGTGTTTCCCCGAAAATAAGACCTACCCATAAAATAAGCCCTAGCAGGATTTCTAAGCATTTGCGCAATATAAGCCCTACCCTGAAAATAAGACCTAGTGATGGGCATGGCTAGGAAAATAACACATCCCCTGAAAATAAGCCCTAAGGGTCTTCTTGAGGAAAAATAAATATAAGACCCTGTCTTATTTTGGGGGAAACATGGTAATGTGCACATATGGGTAGTAACATTCATAGGGTGTTGAGCAGGTGGGATGGGTAAATCCACACCTAAGGGATACAGTACACGCTGTCTGGAGTATGGGCATGATTGTCAGGCAGTGCAAAGGCAATTTATGTAAACAAAGCATGTGTACCTCCATAATACTCTGAAATTTAAAACAAAAATTTATCAAGCAAACATTTCAAGTTTATAAAGATATGAGAAGCTTAAATCAGTAGTAATGAAAGTTTGATTAAAAGGACACTTTCTTATTAACATCAGAGCAGTTTCTCTTACACAAACTGTAAATGTTATGCTAATAAAAATGTTCCTTTGTGAAAGATAGCTCAGATACGGTGACAACTGCTGTGTTAAAGATGTGTTTATGGCAACAAGGTATCCACGGCTGAGTGGGCATAATGAGATAGCAGTATTGTGTGAAATAAACATGAATTGTTTCACTGTTATGTCCATTACATAAGTCTCATATAGGGGAAGGATGAAGGAAATTTAAGTCTCCTTGTGAAAGCACACACGAAACTCTTTGTTTACCTGTAAAAATCATCCGTTTTCCCACATTGGCAGATGTTGGCTTCCGGTAGGACATAGATGCCATGGCTACAGTCTTCACTGTGCCACTGGAGTTTCCTCCTCAGCCTCCGCAGACCAATTAACCTGCACAACAAAAAGCCAAAGACTCTTCAGTCTCTGCTCTCCCTGTCACCTAAACTAGGTGGTTGCTAAGGACTCTTTATGACAGGGATATTAGAATCTTCCTTCCCACAGAGTTCAGTATTCCAGTCTCCAAGAACAGGTAAATACAGCTACAGCATTCCCAGGAGTTGCAACCAGCGATAACTTTTCCTTAGCTGTCAATAACAAGTCAGATTAGAATTGTCCAGGTACTAGATCTGGAGCAGGCTTAGGTCCCAGATAGTCTGGCAGTCTCAATCACCAGTGTCATTCAGTTTCCCAAAGAATATTCTGCATAGGTGTGTTGTGGCAAAAAAACCAAAAAAACCCCCCACAAACTATGGTTAAATATATATGAAAAAAACTGGCTAGATAAAATACAGTAAAAATTACATTAATAAATGAATAAGATAATTTTATATGTGTTTCTCTCTAGCCTCATATTCTAATCCTTTCCTAAACACAATTTGTGCCATGGTTATAGCAATTTATTTGTGATTTCCAATCTTTGCAATGTTTTTTCATTGTTCTGGGCCTTTATGTACACAATTTGCTCTTCCTGTAATATTCCTACGCAAATATTTCTTGTCCTCTAAGAGCCAATGCCCACATCTCCTCCAGGAGAATGTCTGCACACACACAGCTAAGTACTTTCTTCTTCATGTCCCTTTACCCTTTACAGCATCATGTTCAGACCTAGCTTTTTAACTCATTACTTTATTTATTTGTCTGTTTTGTCTACCCACTAGAATCTGACTTCTAGAAGCTCATGATAGAAGTATCTATTCATATTTCAATTTCCAGAGACTGGTATGCGATAGATAGCTAATAAATGTTTGTGGAATGAATAGATGAATGAACAGTCCATCCTAGAAATATAATATTGACTGCCTGACAATCCAGTGAATATAAATTCTAACAGTAATTTTGAATTCAACATTAAACATATGGGGTTCTTTACCAAAAATGTAATACTTTTTGTTTGTTGAGAATTAAAGTAACAATGCTGTATTAACTCTGGAGAGGTTTACTAGTACGGTTGGCAGAGAGATCTGCCACCCAGGAAGTTCCCCCTTCTAGGAAGGGCTCGTCTCCCAGCTGCAGGAAGGACTGTGAGCAGAGAGCTTCCAGCTGGCAGTGCCTTCAAGGGCTGCTTTAGCTGCAGAGAGCTGCCTCTTCTGTCTGAGGCCAAGCCCTTTCTGGGGCAGCCCGTGCCAGGTGACTAGGCGAGGTGGGGGTATAAGGGCCAGTCATTTCAGCTTGCCATGGGGAAGTTTCTCACCTGGTTGGCCAAGGGTTTGTTAAGCCCTCGTCACAGTTCAACGTCTTCCTCTGCTCAATCCAGCTTCCTCTCCTTTCACTCCGCAGGTGCAGATCCATACAACCACTTCCTGAGAACCCGAACTGAGATAACTAGACAGCACAGACAGAAACGCACAAATGTATTACACAGAAGCACGTCTCGTTTTAACCACTCAACCCTTCTAGCTGGAAACCGATTCTGTTTCCCAGTGTGGCCTGCTAGAGTCAGTCTCTGCTGTGTTACCGATCTTTGGTGTCATTTTCTTTGGTCCTGACCTGCGTTGCACTCTTCTCTGCCTCCATCCTGGCCCACTACTGTTTCAGAAGCCTTTCTATTCTTTCTGAGATTTCCTAGCTCTGGTCACTACAGCCAAGGGCTCTCTGTCCCTACCTAAGAAAGTATCCCTCTTTGAAAATGCCCTATTTGTATCCTTGGAGCTACCATTTTCCAAGGCATCCAAGTTTGAAAGTTCCTAGTAGAAGACAGGAATCGGCCCATTTGAGTATATCACTTGTGGTTTTAGTGATACTGAGAAGAGAAAGGAAGGAGGAACCTAAATGAAGAAAATAATTCTTTGGTAAAATAAGCAGAAAACAATGGAGATGTTGGCTTTTGATCGAGGACTTCCTATTAAGCTATCATGTGGAATACAGGCTTCTACTATGCCTTTGAGACTGTTATAAACTTTACAATATGTTGTAGGCTGAGAGCCAGAAATTCTGATGGCAAAAGGATAGAGAGAAAGGACCATAGAGAAGAACCAAATTAGTCCTTCTCCATGAGATTATTCTATCAACTCAATATATATTAGGTTCATGTGATATTTTTTTCATTTTTTAGAAATTTTAAAAATTATCTTATAATTAAGTAAATACATGGTTTCAAAGTAAAATCCTTAAAATAAGAGATATTAAGAGAAGTCCAGTTTTGATCCTTGTCACTTCCACCCTGTTTTCTTTTCCTTCCTTGTAGAAAACATTTAAAAATATATATATATTTATATATATATTATACTTCTATATTTGTGATCATAACCTTACCTTTTTTAAAGAAATAGTACACTGAACATACTTTTTTACCTTGCTTTTTTCTCTTAACATCTGTAGAGTGCTCTATAGCACTACATAAAGATATTTCTCATTTTTTATACTGCAACAAAGTATGCAGTTGTATGCATTTACCATAGTTTATTCAACCAGTCCATCATTAATGGTCATTTGGGCTGTTTTCAATTTTTTGCTATTGCAAAAAGAGCTACAAAGTATAGTTTTCTGTGTACATCTTCTCATATTTTTTTGAGACATCTTTGAGATAGATTCCTAGATATGATTATTGCAGGCAGCTGTTGAAGCAATCCAAGGCAGTGAAGGATGAGGGCAAGGAGCAGAGGAGACACATTTGGAATGTATGTTAGAGGGCAAGGATGGCCCGAGTTTTCTAGCTTGGTTGACTGGTGAGTAGTAGTAATACTCCAAAATAAGACAGAGGAAACAAAAGAAAGAAATAAAACCAAGGCTGATACATAAAGCAATAGTATTAACTAGATGTGGATTTGTATATGCCGCACAACAGGCTAATAGAGCGGTTAAAATTAAGCCCAAATTGTCATAAAATATGATGACAGTTACTGAGCTCATTATAGGGATTAAAGGTGGTCTCCCTTAACCACCAGATGCCTCTCTATTAGAGAAAATCCCTATTGTTTATGAATCAATAGTAGCCTCTTCTAATGAAACTCAGGGTTTGCTGCTCAGCACAAATGAAAATTTGGCTATTGTCTTGCTTCGATAATTTAATAGCTGCTTCAGAGTTGATAACTATGTCAGCAGTTACAACTGTGGAGGCGAATACAGGGGCCCTGCAAAAATACCGTGTTCTAACATTTGGGAAAGAATTAAGGTATACATTTTCATGACATAAAAGGGATACAAACTAGAAGCTTTTATAATACAGCAGTGATATCTATCTCCAGATGAACATAGGTCAGAATTTGCTAAGATTACACGATAACATTCGAATATCCTATTACTAAACATGCTTTGCAAACTGGGAAGTTTTGCCATCCATGTATCAGTGAACCTTTCCTTGTACCTTTGAGTACCAAATATTTTTGTCCTTTCCATATATTCCTGTTTTCAGGAAATAATCTGGAAAATACACCAAATAGCGTCACAGACTTGGCTTCAAATCCTAACAACTCTTCTGTGTAATATTAGCTAGTTGCTTTTCTATAAAATGAGAATTATTATGCCTACCAACAGGGCAAATGGGATAATATATGTAAAATGCTTGTCACAGTATCTGATACATAGTGTGTACTAAATAAATATTAGTTGTAATATTAGTCTCATCACCCCTTCCCTACATCCATGCCACCCCCCATTCTTTCCTGAGAAAATATAGATGACTAATACAAATTTATACTGTGACCATCATAACTTTACTGTTTTGTTTTGTTTTAGAGACAGGGTCTTGCTCTGTTGCCCTGGCTAGAGCACAGTGATACAATCGTAGCTCCCTGCAGCTTCACACTCCTGGGCTCAAGTGGTCCTCCTGCCTCAGCCTCCCTAGTAGGTGGGACTACAGGTACATATCACCATGCCTGGCTCATGTAACTTTACTCTTAATATTTGGGTTTGCAAGACTAGTTCTTAAAAGGGTCTGTGGTCTATTTCCTACTCATTTAATTCTAATTTGGATAGAGTGGTGCCCAAAGCATAGTGGTGCTCCTCCCTATCAGTCCAATCATCCCAACTTCCCACAGTTGTAGTTAATTTAATTGGAGATTATAAAACACTTAGTGTTTTTCCATAAAAATACAGTTTAAAGATTAAATCCACAAAACATTATAATTGCTATCCCCTAATTGCTATACTATACATTGAAAAACAATAAATAATTTAGAGCACATGTTATGGAAACAATAATGGTCATATTTTTAAGTGTATGCATTGTCATTGTTAAAAGTGAAATTATCTATTACTGAGGCTGAGCCAGTCATTTTTCCCAAGAGCCAGCTGGTACTGGGAGGGGTTAGTTAAGGAGTTCGCCAAAGGCACCAGGGGAGTTGGAAGCAGAAACAGCAACAACAAAAAAAAACCACTCCTGATTCTTGGTTCAGGGTGCTTTTCTCCCTACTCTGCCTTGTCAAAGAGTCTGTCATCTCTTTCATGGTGCTGTGGATATTAAAAACCCTTGGAGTTTGCTCTAGTGTTTTACTTGATCTTTCTTCTGCCACCACTTTAACTTTCTGATGAAGGCTTTTTTCATTGATCAATGAACAAATATAATTGCACACTTACTATGTGCCAGGCACTGTGCTAAACACACTCCCAAAAGTTTTCTTAACTGCGCAATAATATTATGACATAGAATCATTACCCTAGTCTACCAAAGAGGCGAGTTCCACAGAGGTTAGTGTCAAAGTTATGTCTCATTATGCGTCCACAACAGAGAACATTGATTCCCAAATTTGGCTAATTATTTCTAGATTGTAATAGTTGAAATCTAATATTGATCTTCAATAAACATGTTTTTCAAAATGTTATTTTTACATGATTGAAATTCTCCCATATGAAGAAATAATCATAGTTAGAAACTATTCCCTCTGCATGCGATTGCAACTTCCCAGTCTGTGAATGCAAGTTAGGTGACAGCAACATTCAATCCTAAATTTTCCTAGCTTAATATCTCTCCCACCCTTGTAACTATTTAAAAAAAAAAAATCAATCCC